ATATATTTATATATTAAATATATAATATTTATAAATATATCATATTAATATTTTAATAATTAGTTACCGAGATATCTAGCTGTAAAAATTGTGAGTTGAAGTACTTTGTGTAATAAAGTCGCTAGCGCGAAAGAATTCAGGAACGCTTTGGTTTACAATTTACATTATCAAATGTAAACACGAAACTATAATACATAGAATACGTGAGCAAGATTAGATGCACATTTACAATGACGCATTCTTTCTTGGAAGAAATAGAACTCGTCGTGCTCGGTTGCTGGAGTTTCGATAAACTTTTCAAAGGAAGAGAGATCAATTTTCTATTAGTTGACGTGCCTCTCAATGTAGAGTGTTTTTTCCGCCTCGGTAACCGAGACGGAAAAAACACGCATTAAAAAAATCAAATTAAATACAAATATTAATGAAATAAAAATACACCAACAAATTTAATTAGTTTCTCTAATTTTTCATCATTTTTTCCCTAGATTCATGGAATATCGTATTCGAAAATATTTTTGATAAAAATAGTTATGGGCGGAAATTGATATCAATCTATATTGCAATTATCGAGAATTTGAGTAACAATTGATCCAATCTCGATGAAATGCATACTCCCTCCGTTTTTTGTCAACCTACGGTTGGCAGAAAATCGGGAATAAAAATGCACGAGTAAGATAAATTTCTCGTTTCTGCGTCATTTTAGGCTGGATCTCGTTATGCTAAATGTAATCGATTAATGTGTTCTAACTTATTACGGTATTGTACAAGTATTACCTCGCTTCGTGAACGATTTCTCGCTCAACTTTATGACATTAAGTCATTTTCGTCAATTCTCGAGCGAGCGAGTTTCCCTTACCCGAACGAGTCTTATCTGATCATCTGATCTATATCCTACAGGATTCTCAAAACTTCGAGACTGAAAATTACTCTCACTCGTTTGACGAGCCGCCAGAAAGATATATGGGATACTTTTCGGGAAAAGAATATTTCCTCGAAAAGATCAATCCCAAACAAGACATATGAAACAAGGTAATACTATATTATGATTTAATTACCTATTAGATGACCGGCTTATTTTGACCCACCTCTCATTAGGGTCAACCCAGGCCAATTAAATACGAAAAAAAACAAAAAAAAACGATTTATTTAAGAAGGAACAAAATTAAAGCGAATGGGAGTTAATAGGATAATATTCGTGCGATTTAACTTCTCGATCATCGCCGAATAAATATAGTCGATTGCTAGGCGATAGCGTCGGGCATTGTGAAAAATTCCGATCGATTACTGACAATCAAATTGCGTCAAAACAGTTGTGGTTTTATGAGCAACATTAATCGATGACGTTTCTTCAAAAAGGAACATTAAGAAAACCATTCGCACAGGAAGCATCTACTACCTACATACGCAAATTTTTTTTATATATTATCTTATCTCTCGTACAAATGAGACATAACACTTTTTTGTTGGAGTCATCCTCATAAATAGAACAATTATTTCTGCTTCTTTAATATTGTAATGTCCCATAAATGTATGCGAAATGACATATTGTAAATTATCTCTTTATCCGATGAATATCGTGAAATAATAAGATTATTTCTAAAAGCTATTGAAGCTATTAAAAAAAAAGAAAATTTCTTTTAATATTATTTTCAATCTATTTTATAAAGAAAGTGTAGATTAGGTAAGTGTAATTAGTAAAAAAAAAATTAGAAAAGAAACATTATCTAACTCACAATAACCGTCGAAGAATTCAAACGAGATTTCAATTAAATAGATTTGAATAGTTGATAAGCATTTATTATTAATCTACTTAGATCTACGACCTAATTTAAAGATTGATGGATCATTTATTAACGATATCCATTGCATTTTTTGCATATATGTATTTGACTGTGCATCTGAAACAACGTACGCGATTTTGCGGGATCGGATTTCGAGAGGCTTGCGAAAAAAAAAAAGGATTAACGCGAGAAATGGTTTAATTTAGATCCAAAAATCAAGCAACCATTCATATAATTTCCGACGTGCTAATTTTTATAGTTATTTACAATTTTACGTTTTGTTTACACGTTAATATAAAAATTGTAACGATTAACAATAAATACATGTCTATCATAAAACGCGAAGCGCGCTGCGAGAATTAGCGATATGTACATATATATGATAATTTTATTTTTTATTGGAACACACTTTTTTATCTTCCTCCTCTCGTCCATCGTGGCACATATGTGTGCGTGCATAATGAGAAAAGCTTTTTTTCGCTCTCTATTCCTTTCATCTATTCATCTTTCAAAATTTTTTTCTCCGATATACATATCCGACTACATATATCATTTCGCAGAAAACGTGACGTAGCGCGGCTACGAGGACAAAGCTTTTTTTTTTTTTGTGTGGAATACACAACAGAGCCACTCCCCTTCGCCCTTTCAATCAATTTCTATATCGAATGATTTCATATTCTCTTACCGTAAACGTAGCCTGCGTGCAGGCAAATCAGCAAAAATGCTCCTGTAAGGCGCAACATTTTGATATTCTTAGACTTGGTAGCGCGTCAGACGCTCTATGGTCGGTTATATCACGTGCCACCTGCGAAAGACTAGGATCGAACTGACTCAACGACGACCGACAACTGAGAACTGAAAATGAGATCCAAGAACACCGAGAATCCAAACAACCACAGACAACAACCTGTCAAGTACGCGATGCCACCCGATGTGAGCTTGGACGCAAGAAACGACCTAACCACCGACACTGTAAAAATAAAACATAAAGAAGAAAAGCGCAGACCGAGCAAAGATGTTCCAGATTTGAAGAATACGTAGAAAGAGAAAGACGATATATATAATTCTTTCGTCTCTCTTTCTAACGAAAGAAAATGGAGAAGGAGAAGGATGGTCAGCGTCCAATTGCGCTAGATAATGCTCCGCTAAACGTCATTGCGCATGCGTGACGAGAGAGAAGGAAACTCTACACTTATTTTCTCTCTTTTTTTTTATACCATTAAATTTTGATGTTGCAAATTAATCAAGATTAAATTGAAATCGTATTGATAGAAATGAATATTAGATAGAGAATAAAATCGTCTTTCATGTACATATATCAGAGAGAAGCCTGGGAGGGACCACGCTACCGTTTTTCGTAAGACCTAGCTGGTATAGTGGCGCTAACTAGATCCATTTTAAAGCCAGCGGAACTACATGGCCAGATACACTTTTTGATGCCATGGTAAAACGACCGGTGATTGGTGCATGTCCGTGCTAAACACATTGTGGATCAAAAATGCGGAAAAATATTATGGATTTATTAATGTTTTATTAGTTGCGCTTGATATTTTGTCATTCTAGTATATACTACAGCGATAATAAATTATAATTAAAGTATTTTTATGTATATAAAAACACTGTGTATGCATACAAAATGAAATAAATTTTCTTAAATAAATTTTCTTAATAATTTTTTTTCTAATTTTTAAATATAACGTGTAGAAGATATTTGCATTGCTTTCCTTTCACTTTTTTCTTATTCTTAAAACAAAATTATCAAGCATTTTAAGCAATATCAAGTTATACTAAAACTCCTTTTTCTTTATTATTGTCTTTTCCACTTTCATTTTATTTAAATATATTAATATAAAAAATATAACTACAGTATCTCTCTTAGTCTGACTCTTCCCCTTCGACCTGTCCGGCATGGGTGACCCTACTGGTAACTTATTAGCGTTTTTAAATAAAGCAAGTTTAATCGCTTTGAGAGCAATTAAACCCAATTTACGATGAATACATATTGATCAAAAATAGATTTTGAAAGAATCTCATTAATATAAATAATATAAAGTATATTCTCCGTTTTTGACGCTATTTTGTCTTTAAAGTATAAGATTCTTTGCCCTGATTAATCAATCAAACTAAAGCTTCGATGGAAATCAATGATTAAATTATAAGATAAATTGTGATTTAAAATTCGCGAGCAAACGCGACGAATAAATAAATCGTCGTATTCATAATATTCGATTGCGATACGCGTAATTTCTATAATAATCGAAATCCACATACACGTACGCGCGCGCGATGTAATCACTATCATTTATATATATATAAAGATATTTCGATAAACATTCGAGATCTGTAATATAGCATTCACCCGATTTATTTTCTAATACGCCATATTATATGAATGTCACGATCAACAATAAGATATATATTCTATCTCGCGAATGACTGTTTTAACAAGATAAAATGAATCTTATAAATCTTAAAATATCCTCATAAAAAATCGCGTTAGTACCACGTTTTATAGAAAATAACAAACCCAACGATTTTAACAAAGCCCTTCCTCCGCCGGGTGATACGCCGGTTAATATCCGACAAAGAGAAGAACGATCCTAAAGGTGGAGAACGACCAACGTCTTGTTTCTACATCAATTTCTGCAAAATCGATCCGCAAAGAAAAGTTAAGTGATCCGTTGAACGTTAGAGCCGCTGCAGGAGGGAACGAATCCCGGATCTTCCGGACTGCTCCCGATAGCAATGATTTCGGTAACAAATCAATTCGATTTGTCTCGAAGTTTTTAAATATCCGCACATTTTACGTTATATTAATATATATAATTTCATATATATATCATTCATATATTGTTCATATATCATTCATATATATAATATAAAGGTATATTGAAAAAAGTATAAAAATTTTTTGAAATAGTACGATGATTTGTGCATGTATTTTATTAAATATATAGAATAGTACATATATCTAAAAGCACTAATCCAAGACTGATGTCCTACAGTGGCGGCGCGGAGAAAATATGCTGTTTTCGCAGTGTAATTTATTAATTTATTTTACGAATATTTGATCGCGATACGGAATTCGTAAATACATCAATCTCTAATCGAAAATAAATCTAAAAAATAAAATTCGTACTAATTTATTCGCGATTCTGCAATATCGAGGACAATCGTTTTTCATGAATGAAAAGCTAATATTTAACCGTTAGTTTAACATCGAATCTTCATACACTTATTCGATATCTTTAATAATAAAAGAATTATGTATATATGTAAAATTTGTAAAATTTGAAATATATATAAAGCAAGTTTGAAATATATATAAAATATATATAAAGTTTCCCGATTTTATCAATGACTCTTTAATATAAAAACACACACGGTTAAATTTATATGTGTGAGAACATTTTTACAATATACACTTTGGAAACAAATATATGTATGTTAATTGAACTAATTTCTGTATATTATCATTATACATGTTCTTTTGGTAATTTTTCGTGTAATTTACAAAAGAATACATATTTCATATAATTTACATACAATTAGAATAAACTCAAATTAATTTAATACAATTATAA